TAGGGGTAACTCAATGCTACTTTACAAAGATAGAACTAAAACTGTTTATAGCACAGTGAATACACAGTTAATTCATTCGTAATTACTTCTTTTAGCATGGTAGCACTAGGAGAACCAGCTGGTATCTACATTTCAGAAATTTTCAGAACTTTTAAGGAAACAAATGAATACGAAATATTTTGCAAAAAAATCAGTCTATACTTATCATTACAAACAGCTGAAGGTATGTACAGATAGGGTTGTAAAGTTCATGCACAATTCCTAGTGAGCTCACAACATACAGCCTGCGCTGTGCTTGGGCTCCGGCACCTGTTTTTAGGAAAAATTGTGGCTACATTTAATCCAGTAAAAAAGAGGTGAATGGAACTTTGCAAGTCTGAGTGTGCATATGCTTTGATAGAGTGGCACATAGGTGTTGTAGGAACATCAGTGTATATTTATTAACATTCTGTGCACATCTGACTGACACTTCACCTTGTGGAACATTAAGAGATCCCTGAACGTCTGGGTTTGTGACCTATACATCTAAAACCTTGTATTGCTAGAGATCTCCCTGCTTGTTATCTTTTGTCTCCTCAATCTGTGAGGTGGGGCCTCTACCATTTAGAGTCCACCTAAGCCCAGCAGGCTGGGGTGCTGGAAACCCAAGCCTGTGTATTCACTTCATCTGCTTCAATTCCTGCTATTGTTCTCAGCAGTTTCCGCCGAGGGTGTGCTTCGCTTCGAGAACACAGTGCTCCATTCATCAGCTTGGATTGTTTTACTGTGTACTACTGACAGCATTGACAGAGAGAAAAAATCACACTCTTTAAATTCCACCTAAAATAGAAATTAGTTAGACTTTGGGCACCTGAGACTCAGAGAATGGTTTGTATTGCCTACTGTAAAGCACCACCTAACCCCTGGAGGCACCTAATATGAATAATTTTGGACAACAGATTTCCCCTGGCATCTGAACATACATTCCAAGGAAGCTCCATGCTGGGAAGCGTGGAATCACCATGCCTTAAGCAGCAAGGCATGTAACTCCCACCCAAGTTTCCCTGTGACTCAAGGATGTGTGTAGAGATGCCTGAATTCTGCCTGTGCCCCCAGAGGTGCCTAAGCCATTGACTGTGCTTAAAACACACATAATAAGCTTGGACAGCATTGCATTCAACACAAACCACAGCAGTCACAAACACTTTCAGTGTAGAAGAGGGAATCTTATAAATAGGCTTAAAGCTTCCAGCAGTCATCTGGTTTGGATTGTCCTAAGCTAAGGAAGCTCATCAGGAATGGGAGAACTTGACTGTTGTCCTAATATTATGGGTATTTCCTGGGAGAGGAAAATCTCAGATTCTTTTTTTTTTTTTTTTTCTCTCAAGTCTGATTATGTATTTTAGTTAGACACTTTTGGCCAAGAAAACATAAGCAACTTGTAAGTGATGGGGGGGTAGTGATAGTGGAGTCTCACAAATTGTACTTACTTAACTAAACTGATGAATTTGCGCGCTTATTAATTGCTACCCATATTTCTGTAATGTTGGGCTTTTTTAAGACCTTTCATTTCTCTTACTATTTTTGACTTAGACACCATGGTGTAGTACCCTAAGTTAATATGCTATACTTGTGCTTTACATCTGTAGACTATGAAGTGAGCTTGGTATATTATTCTTTCTCCTTTTGCCATGGTTCTTTCCCTGTTCTGTATGGAAAGGGTAAATACTCTATGAGGAAGTACTTGTTGAACTACGAACATGCGGAACAACTTCTCTATTTCTGTTAAAATTTAATGCTGCTTCTTTACTGTTTTTACCCTACCCTACAGGTGACATCTCGTTAGTTTTCTCACTAGTTTTTAAATGCTGGTAGATGCAACCAAGTGAAAAATTTATAATAAATGTTCAAAAAACTCCTGAATTTCAAATCCAGTATTCTGGAGTGTTTTGGTTTGGCTTTTCTCATGTTCTGATATGAGGTTTTATGTTCACATTTCAGTTCCAGCCTTTTTTTTTTTACCCCATCGAATGTCATTATATTTTATTGTTTAAAAAACATACTTTGCCTGTCTCTGAGGAATTTTTAACTGAGCTTTACCGAGTATAAGATACCATGGTAGTAATACTTAAATTTTGCTGTATATCTTACTGATCGTCACTTCAATGCATGCTTTTTATTCTGTTAGGTTCAGTTGAAACCATTCAGGGAGCAAGACCATAGGGGAAACTGTGTATAGTAGTAGCTAGTATGCTGATTTTCTGAGCATTTTATACCTTCATTTTTCCTCTATTAGCCTTCACCATCGGGCTGGAAGGGGTTGAGTGTTAAGTGCATACTTCAAAGCATCTGTAAATGACTTTTTGGTCACCAAGGAATGTTCATATAGTTACACAATTAGAACTCTTCCCAGAATAAAGACAGTGCTTCTATTAGCTTATGTCTTTGGTATACAGTAGATGTATACTAAATTTATGCTGTTTGTTGGCCAAGTTTCGCAGAGGGTTGTGGAATAAGGTCCATCCTTTGGGGGCTTTCAGAACTCATCTGGACAAGACTTACGACCTGATAAAACTTTCAGGTTGGCCCTGCTTTGAGCAGGGGGTTAGATCCATTGGCCTCCAGAGCTACCTTCCTACCTAAACTATTTTGTGAATCTAACTGAATTTATTCTTGGTCCAATTCTACTTGCATCTTAGCTTTTTAGTTTACTTCACTGAAATCAGTGTAATGCCCTTAGGAATTATTTGTCTGCTTTTCTCATTTCTCCCAATATAGTTTTCTCTGTCAGTTCAAAGGTAAGAAAAATTGGGTGAACACCTGCCCTTTTTCACAATGCTGGTCCATACCTTAACCCTTGAACTGTTTCACAAATAGTTTGATAGTCACTTAAGGAAGATAATTTTACATCACACGCACTCACACACAATCAAACTTTTCTGAGAAAAATCTGAAAGAAACAAAATTTTAGAAAACTAATATTTTAATTTGTTTAGATAGCTCTTGAGAGTCAACGAGGCTTACAGTAACAAGCAACTTGGGGGGAGAAAGGGGAGAGGGAAGAAAAAATGCTCAATGCCTACCTGCCATGTCTAGAATCTACTTCTGTTTGTTTGACGGACTTATCATACCAATCACGTATTCCCCTCCTTTCGTTCCGTGAAGACTTTTGATGTTTCACTTCCACAGTTGTGGAACTCCCCTGCATCTCCCAATGTGGAACTTAGCTGGGAAAGTGCACTGATTTAGGGGAGCTAATCAGGTGCTCCCACAGCCAGACGTCCTGCCTAGGGTACAGCTGTAAACCTGAGATGCCATGTCCTTTGCTTGGTTGGAGCGCTGAAACCATAGGGCTGATCACACAGATAGTTTGCTGCTCTGCAGAGACACACTCATCTGTTACTGATGCCCAATGAATTTATTTTCTTTATAAACCATAAGCATATTCTTTATGCTATAATTAAAATACAGAGTAGTGTGAAATCTAGATCTGAGTATTTCAAAGCCTATTTACTTTTCCCTTGCTTTTTGACATTTAAACATCTATAGCTGTACAACAGAGCATATGTGTCCACTGACAATGTGGGACAGCAGCCAATTTGGTCCAGGGATAAAAGAGGAATCAGCTGTGGGAAATAAGCGAAAGAAGTGTCATTCCCATATAAGGGACTTAAATAGGTGTTAGTCTGTAAAGAAGCTGTTTGGCAGGATTTAGAGCAGGCTTCTCTACACAAGAGGCATTTTTTCTGAGATCCTAAGTTAACTGAAGTGTGCTAATTTCCAGGAGGGCTGTGGGGTTATTGTCTTGTCATCTGGTGCTTTCCTCTTTTATTTTTTTTCCTTTGTTTTGGTTTGGTTATAGGTGTTGTTTGGCTGTTGTTGGTTTGCTTGGTTTTGTTTTTTCTTAATAAAGCCTTTCTAGCATATAGCTGTGTAATTGTACTCCCATTGGTAGTTTTCTAGAAACTATTTACTTAACATGACTGTGAGAAGAAAAACGGAGGAAATTTTTCTGCTGTTTGGGGCCCTCAGGTTTCCCCTGCCCTGGTCCAGGGAAGGGCTTTTGCAATGCAGCTTGTTGGGCAATCCTGGCAGTTTTCAGGGAACAGCGATGTTAACACTTTAGCTACCCATCTGTTGTGTAGTGTTTGCATCTGTGGTTTTCATTTGTCTCACATCTGTCTTAGAAAAGAAATAGTTTGAAATGCAGAAGCTTCAAAAGAAAAAAAAAGTTGATTGTACCATCCTAATTTGTTTAGTACAGAATTAGTATATATTTAATGATTTGAGTAGAGTGGAGCTACGAAATAATTTCATTTTCTCTGAAACTTTCTATAAACTTCTCAAATAATTCATGTTGTATTGCATTCTGTGACACAGTAGTCTATCTGACTTTTCTTAAAGGTGTCGACAGGTAAGAAAGGAATAATAAAATCAAACAACAGCAATTCATTCATTCAGAACTGCATTCCTAATTTTTGTTCAAGACTGTTAAAGTTCAGCTGTTCTGATACTCAAGATGTCCAAGTCATTGCCCAAGGAGGTCACTGGATGAAAAACCCTGCTCAAACAAAAGCCAACTTCAGAGTTAGATCAGGTTATTATGAGCCCTGTCCAGCTGAGTTTTGAAAGTCTACAAGGTTGGGGATTATTCCACAAATCCTCTGGGAAACTTGTTCCAGTGGCCCAAGCCATAAATTGGGAAAACCAGAATTTTAAAATATGTTTATGTGTGGCATTCACTTAGCAGCAGTTCTTTTAAGACTCCTATTTACAGTAATCACAGACTTTTAAAAAGTTAGAATGAAATATTAATTTGTAAAATCTTCAGCCATTTATTATTATAAATCAACTAATTTTACTTTTGAGAAGAGGCACTTCTGAACACTGAAGCCCATGAATTTGTATGAGTGAGCATTTGGCTTCTTGTTTTCACCAGGTATTATTTCTGTTCATTTGTTTTAAGCAGTGTTTTGTCTGTATAACAAGAAATCTTTTTTTTTCCTGCTCTCCTATTGTAGTCAAGTATTTCCCAATGGGCTTCCTGAAGAATACTCTCTAGTTGCTACGTTCCGCGTACGGCGAAATACCAAGAAGGAGCGTTGGTATATATGGCAAGTTTTAAATCAGTATGACACACCTGAGGTTAGAGTTGTCTTTGATTTTTTTTTTTTTTTCATTACATTTCTTTTCTTTTTCCCCATATAATATGGCAAATATAACTTGGTGGATGTTTCACCACTGGATTTAGCTACAATTTGGATGGGATAGACAGACTGCCCTGAAATAATTGATGGTTTATCATAGGAGTGACAGAAATTAAGCAAAATGTGTTAAGATTGCAAACTAGGATAGATAGGTGATATGTATTTACAAAGTTACATAGAAGAGTGCAAGAGTGCTTCATAACATAATTCTTGCCCAATCTATGTAGTCAAAGTATTTTTATTATATATAGTTTACATATGTGTTTAATTCTTATACTCTAAGATGACCACTTCTTTATTTTATTTTGCTTTCAGATCTCTGTCCTTCTGGATGGTACAAAAAAAGTTGTGGAGTATATGACCAAATCTGCTCAGGGAAATATACTGCACTACACTTTTAAGAGTCGAGAAGTTTATCCGTTGTTTGATCGGCAGTGGCATAAGCTTGGTATTAGCGTGCAGTCAGGAATCATTTCCCTCTATTTGGATTGTAATTTAATTGAGAGAAAGCAGACTGATGAAAAATTCACCATCGACTTGCAGGGGAGGACTCTGATTGCTTCTCGTGCTGCAGATGATAAGCCTGTAGATGTGAGTAGTATGAAAGGAAAACCAGATAACTTGAAATCATGTTTTAGCCATGCTTTTACTAACACCATCATAAAGAATTGTGAAGATAAAAGGTTCAAAACTGGTTATTAATTTCGAGTGTGTCTTCTTAATTTGAAGTACTTAAGTCTTCTTCTCTAAAAAATATTCACTGCTGTAGCAACTGCCAAGGCAAACCTTCTGTTACCAAAGTAACTAAAATAACTTAGTCCTCATTTCAGTTTATTTTTCTGCTTCCAGTGGTAATTTTTTTTCTTTCAATTTCTGTGAGCTGTTTCTAAGTTTGTATCAGTCATCTGATACAATTTGTCGCTCTGTGATAAAGGGAAGACACAGAAAAATTAAGGATTACCTCTGTGTCAAGATTGCATCGCTCCAGGGTAATTCAGCCCTGCAGAAATAGGGGAGCACGTTGTCCATAACTGTCACTCCCTCCTCCAAATGATAGGGATTAGGAAGTGGCTGAAGGTGTGCTTTCCTGCAGCCTTTGGTGCAAGAATCACCCAAGGCAACCCCGTAATATCCTGGGCTGTGATTTGTCCCGGAGATGCTCTCCTCTGTTTCCTCGTGCAGAGAGCTCACGGCAAGTCATTTGAAAGCTCCAGAAAATGTCCGTTTGTTTTAAGTATGCTGACATCCAGTCACCAGGTTTGAAACTCTGGCTTGGAGTTTATAGTGACCGCCTGAAAGTTTCCGCTGGATTACGGACACCGTGTAGTTCCAGATGAAAATAGCACATCATCACTGCAAGCTGGTGTTGTGGGAGGAACCAGTCCTGTGGGACGCTGAACCCCTTGGCCCAGACTCACAGCTCTTATTTCATGGGGCTATAAGCTCCTCTTTCATCTTATTTTCTAAGACTGAGTTCAACTTTATTTGAAATGTAGGTACCGTCTCCTCATTTCCAAGTAGCAGGCAGGAGAAGGAGCAGATTCTTTTTGTTTTGTGTTAGTTGCATGGCACAGGCTGGATAATTCTGACTGGAAGTTGTCAACTGGGATTTCCACATTTGCAGCAAAACATTATGGGCATAAAGCTGAGGATGGCAGCAGAGCAGATCCTGTGCCGAGAGTCACTCTCCTCAATACCAAGAGGAAGGGAGAGAATAAGAGGATAAAAAAACAGATGCAGAGAGAGAGGCACAGAAGGACAAGATTAGCTAGTTAAAATTAGATGCTGTTCATCTCGCCAGTCCACCCAAAATCTCTGAGACAGAAGTTTTGTGTAGAGAATTTGTGATTTTTGCTCTTCGGGTGATTTAGTGGCCAGGTCCAGGCAGAGGTTTGTCCAAAGCAATAGAAGGTGTATATGAGATAGAGATTATCAAACCTTTACTCTAGTTCACTGCAGGAGAAAATTACGTTCCTGAAAAGGTTTGCAGAGGAGGTCAGAGGGCTAAAATGCCTCTGTAGCACAGCAAGAGCAGTACAGAGGAATGCAATTTACATGAAAATAAATTAAATCTAAGATGTGATTTACATCAAAGTAATAGACTGCACAATTTGTTCCTTAAGTGAGGAGCTGTGTAATTGTTTTGGCTTTGTCTCTTTTTCCAGCTTTTCAGAAATGTGCAGTGTTTCAGAGAAAGCTTATTATGCCAAGAATATGCATGTCGTAACACATTATCTTTCACATTTCATATTAATCTCTTTTGTATTTCTTATTAGATTGAACTTCACCACATAACAGTTTATTGTAATCCAAAACTTGCAACAGAAGATACGTGTTGTGAAATATCTGCAGACCTGGTAAGATATTTGTTAAAATGCAAATGATACTACAAAAGAAATTGCTTCATTGTTTCTTATTAAAGAGTTGTAAAGAAATTTCAATAGAAGTGTTAGTTACCTCCTAAAAAGCCAAAGCAAACCCTAATTACATATGAAAGCAAAAAGATCAAGAATAGGCTTTATTAATAGCATCTTAAAAATTCATGTGACTATATAGCTAAATGCACCATCAGTTTCATTTCTATGTTGAAGATTTAAAAAATGGACTACTTGTTAATGGTTTTCATATTGAAACTAGCATTATATTTTCAGATTTATTTTTTCATGAATTCCTTACTAACTATAAGGGCTACATTTTCAGTAATGTAAAGGAACTAATTTATCCTTGGATACAAATTTCTACACTAAGCTGTAAATCCCCATGGGAATTCCTTTGACAGAAGGTTTGCAGGAGACCTCATTACATCTTAATGAGAGCTTCTGAAATTTATCCGGTTCTGTTGACTTGTCCTGTAATTGGCTCAGCTCTCATAAGTTATAGACAGGTGAATATTGGCTGCAGGGCTTTTTGTTTGTTTCTAAACTGTGCATGCCCAAAGTATTTCATTACAAAAAAAATGACAGAATTTTCCTCACACTCGCTGTGACATTTTGCATTTTGGGGCAAGGGGTGGAGGACAGGATGAGACTGAGAAGTACCCTTTTTTTTTTTTCCTCTCTGGGTATTTTCTTCTTCACTGTTTTTAGTTTGGGAGACTTCATTCCTCTGTCTGACTCTTTTGGAAGAAAGAAGTGGGACAGTCAGATCAATTTTAACTGGCATTGGTTTTAGTTTTCAGAAGGATCACAAAGTCTAGACTTCATTTTACTACCACTTTTTCTTCTGTTTGGCAATTTTTGTGACTTCTCTGTAATATGCTGTGTACAGGATTGTTAAAACAGAAATTAACTTCAAAATAGTGTATGGATGGTATTTAGATAATTAAGCAAAGTGGACCAAAAAATCAGGAAATTTTCTTTTTATTTTAGTGCCCACATGAGGAGAGGTTACTTGCTACAACTTCATCACCGGTTACTGTTCGTGCAAGCAAAATATACACACTTCCAGGAACGCAGCAGGAATCTAGAGAGAGATGCCACTGCTTTCCAAACAAAGTACGAGGTTTTCCTGTTGCTTTTTAGTGCATCATGCCACTAAGTATTAAAAAAATAAAAAGGTTGATTTTTTTTTTTTTGTAGTTATGAAAAATATCTTACTGGTTTGTAGTGTTGTGATGTACTTACATTATATTTCCCAGTTAAGAAACAGTTTATTTTAGATTTAGTTAATTTAAAGTTAGAGTTGCAGAGATCTAGAAGGATTAGTTGTTTGAACAGACACCCAAAAAACGTCCATGGTAAAACTAAGAATTATGTTTAGGCATTACATTTAGTGTAAATGTTTTTACTTGAGAATAAATTACTTTTTACATAATGTTGGCTATTTTTAAATCCTTCTCCTGGGTGTCACACTATATTTATTCTGAGTCATTTGCTTTGTTAGGCTTTTGCGATAAAAACAAGGAAACCAAAACAAATACATATTTTGGATCTGCTTCTGTGTTGATTTTTGATTTCTTTTAAAATCAGGGAGAAGCAGGATTGCCAGGAGTGGGTGGTTTGCCAGGACAGAAAGGAGATAAAGGTGAAAAGGTAAAATATCAATTGAATTCACTCTTTCAAATCTTTATCTTTGGCTTACCTTTCTTAAATAGAATCTGTATGGATTCTGCTAGTCCTTAAATGACTCTCACTGTACACAGGTTAAATCCTTTATCAGTCAGTCTCTGGTTCTGCCCACGGGCTTCCTGCCAGGCAGCCGACAGCTGTATCATTTTGGGGTCCCCCATGGACTCCCTGGAACACAGTTTACCTGCCTGCCCAACCTGTCAGCATGTTTAATTGCCTGCTCCCCTCATCCAAATAAAGAGAAGCCGTGTGTGTTGTCCGTGACTGGGATTTTCCCCTGTCATGTGTGTGTGTCACTGCCACGGACGGAACCCCATGCTGTGGGTTCATCCTTGCAGCCATCAGGAGCAGGGTATGAACTCACCTGTATGGCCTCAGCACTGTATATTCCTCCACACCACTCTTAGCTGAAACTTTCTTAATTTGGAAGAGAGAGGGACCTGACTTTGGCAAGCCCCTAGGACAGGCCCTTTCCTTGGAGCTCTTCTGCATTTTTGTTCCATAATGCTCACTGTGACATTCCTGTGCTATTTACCCTGGGGGGTTCCTAGTAATAAAGGTAAACATATCAGCTATTTTCCCCTCACGCTCCACTCCCTCAATTTGGTTGGAGGATGCTGAATTGGGACATCTCTGGGAATGTGTTTTTCTTGTGCTAATAGAGGGGGGACCTCGAATAAACTATTGCAGATTGGCCAGAAAGACAGTAGAGAGGAATTCTGAGTTCAGGGAATGCAGTGTGAGAGGAAGACACCTGGAATGTCCTGATCCAGAGGTCAGGATGAAGGTGTCCTCACCCAGCATCCTCCCTCACAGCACAGTGTTTAATACATGATCTGAAATAGGTTGTGATAACAGCCAGCACTGCTCCTCGGGCTGCAGTACCGGGCTGAAACGGGTCCAGTTCTGAGAGGGCTTATCCACACAGTTGGATGAAATTAAATAAATTCCTTGACAGTGTCTTCCTCCTCCCCCACACCCTCCACCCCACCCTACCCTCACCCTTCCAATATATATTTTACTTTTCATACTAGCTCTGTCTTTTCTCTCGGTAGAAAAAAAAAAAATAATAATCAGTCCCATTAGTTTCTCTAGCCCTGCAGAACCCAGCAGGATTGCTGGCAGTTTCCAAATTCAGTCATGAATTTTTGGTAACCCTAGGTCTGAGCATATAAAGGAATTGTCAGTGTAAAGGTCAGCCTACGCTAACCACATAGGGAGTTTCCTGGCATTTATTTGCTCTCCTGCTCCTGACAAGACCCATTTCAACTATCACTGCTGTTAAGATGAGAAAGGAGACTTCAGAGGTCTTATTGTTTTGCCGTTCCATATCACAGCCAATTGCCAATATCTACTATGCTAATCATAGTAGCTCTAAATGAAGCATGTGGGTGCCCATGGTCACCTCCATTTCTGTTCTCTTGTTTCTTTTACTAAAAAAACCCCACGTTGCATTGTTGCATTGATTCAAAAACCAACCAACAGTCAAGGAACTCTTTCAACTTCTGTGCATCGCTGATAGCAAATTGCACAAGGCTGTGTGTGACGTTGTTAGTAATAGTATATTAAGTACAAAATTTCTGGTTTAGTAGTAAAACTGAAAATTATTAGGCTTAAGATTCATGAAAACAAATCTTTCCAGATTTATACAAATAGATATTTTTTTTGGTAGTGGCCTACAGTAAGTCCAAATTTGATGTTTATTACCAGCCTCTCTGATACTATATGGAATATTTAGAGCCTGAGCGGGACTGTGTGGATCCGGCAGCCTAGCCTAATGAGAGTAAATTGACATTTGTGAACATCAATTCACAAAATTCAGTGAATCTTCAGGTTAAAATCAGAGGTAGTACAGCAAACAGCTAGAAAGAGGCTTAATTTGAACTTTCCTTATAACTGACCGGTCCTTGCTACCTCCTGGCTTTGGGGTGGTTTTTTTTTGGTTTTTGTTTGGGGGGTGGGTGGAGGCTACATTACCTTTGGCTGTGATTGAAAGGATGTTGACCTTTGGCAGCAAATGAATCCTGCCTTGAGTAGTGCCCATCCTGATGGAGTTGAATGGCACAGTGTGCCATGGGGCAGTAACTCTTGCTCTCCATGGTGGCCTTGTCACATCAATAATTAGAGGTGAAAAAGGAGCAAGACCCCAGACCATCCCAGACATGCAGGACATGTGATTTATTGCCAGATTATGGAAAGGAGAGTAAAAGACTGTGGTTGATGTTTTGTAATGTGTTATACATTAAATCGCCGGCTTCTTAATGACTTTAGATGGCCGTTCACAAAAAACAGGATTTCTCTAAGTTCTTCTTAGATCTCCTAGGATCTTCTAAGTTCAGATGGTTCTTCAGCCTGTGTTTCCCACTTTGTGAACAGCTCATTGTTTTATTGTTTTCTTCTAAATATTATTTTTAGCATCCAACTAATTATATTTAAATATCCTTGCCATCACAACATTCCTTATCCTTTTATTTTACGTTGTACAATTCCAACTTCCTGTCTACTAATTGATTGTATGACTGAATTTACATGTCTTTTTGTTGCTGTGGAACTGACAAGAAATTTTCTACATATACAAGTTGGTGTCAAACTGTATTCAAGCCCCCCAGAATTACCCTTCTTTTCATTCTAAAGTAGTTGTCACTTAATGTCAGACTGCTTTTCCTGGTCAGGAACATCTAAGCTATCACCAGAACAAAGCATGATACCTGATAAGCCATTTTTAAGGCATTTTGAATTTAATTACTAGCCTGTTTCCACTGCCTTTCTGTAGACTTGGCAGTACTCTTGGCAGTCCTGTACTCCTGGCTCACATTAGTACCTCTGAACAGCTCGGAGCCAAACCGTGTTGTGGGCCCAAATGGCTGAAGTGCCATATTGTCACTGGAACGGGCATTCATGCAAATATTGATGCATTCTGGCACTCTGTCTGAATGTACAGGAGCATCACTGATCAAAATTATTCCATTTGTGTGAATGACCTTCCTATTTATATACCTGGCCTTCCATAGTGGTTTCATGAGGAGAGTTCTTCACTTAACAATAGAAGTATTATCTCTGGTGCATTGGGGGTGAAGAAGCTGCTCAGTTTCAAGACTGTCTTCCTTCTTGAATGACCAGACTATCCAGTTTGATACCATACACCCCTTAATATGTAGCAAAAACAGTAGTCCTTGTCCCTTTTGTTTCCTGTGCAAGCTTGGATCTGGGAGTGTTTGCTCTGCAGGATTTTATTTGCTGGGAGATCAGCTCCTGCAGCAAGGGACAGCCTCCTGTTCTTTAATTTCCGAATAATTACGGCTGCCACCTGGTTCTTTGTTGCCTCTGAAGCCAAACACAGCGGCTGCTCACTGATCTCTGCCCATGAAACACCCTTCTTGGGCTGGCTGGTAGCTTCTTCCCACTGGATGAAAGCTGAGAGGCAGCAGAGGCCAGGGGTACAACGTAGGTTATCCCTCGATGATACACTGTGTTACTGATATCGCACCAAGAACCCTGAATTTCACAAGGTTCAAGTGCCAGGGTCAAGTGGTCAGATGTCAGGTGGAAGTCTCCTGTGATTTAACAGGTTTTGATATCTCTTCTGTAGAGCTAGGTTTCCTATTCTGCTGAGCTGAGTGAGAAATTGTGATTTGTTTTCTGTTTTGGAAGCAATTTCTACTACTTCAGCATGGTATATAGCTACCCAGATTCTTACAAATATATCCATTGGCAAATGTCTTTTGATCATGATGTGAAGGTTCTCAATGTGTAGAAATTATTCAGAAAGACAGAATATGGATCGCAGTAATTGGAATTACTACGTACGCACTGAACATACAACCTAATCTTCTATATTTAAGAGGCTAAAAAAATAATTTTATCTTTTTTATTTTTCTTTTAAGCAAACTTAGTGCCCATGAAAGATTTTAAATTTAAATCCAAAGAGAATTAAATATTTTGATACAATATTAAACCATCCCAAGCTGTGCTAGTAGGTCAGTGGTTAATGCTCTAAGTACAGCAGGGAGCAAAAAGCCAGAGGCCGAGCACTCTCAAACATTAAAGCAGCTATTGGTGCACGCCATGGAGGAATTTATTGCTATTCAAGTAGGCTCCATTAATTTAAATTTTACTTAAGGAAAAAGATGTTTAAAAGGCTATTTTAGGACTGGTAGAGATAGGTTTATGCAATATATTGTTTCACTAGGAAAATATTTGTAATAGAGCTGTAAGAAAAAAGAACCCCTGTAGAACAAATTAGGTGTTTGACTGCTCTTTCTGCCTATTTTCCTGGCTGGTCTTCCTTTCCTCCTTCTCTGTCATTCCTCTTATAGCCCAGGTCCACCTGATTCTACCTAAGGCATATCAATCATGTTATGCAGCCTTGAGAATGGTTCCTTTCTGGTTTGATTTTGGTTACAGGGGTTATTGATAGGGGACGTAGAAGCTGGAATGCATGAAACAGAAAGAAAAACTGGGCAAAATACAGCAGGGTGTCGATGATAAAGTCAGGAATTGCCAGTGTATATGGTAGACTAAAATCTTACAATGGGCCAAAGGGAACACTCCACATCTGCGGAGCTGAGAAATTATTGGTAGTTTGAGTTAATGTTTTAATCATTTAATAGTTTAATTGGCTTTCTTTTAAAAAAAAAAAAAGTCTTAAATAGATACCTGTTTTCTATGCTACCATATTCACCCTCCAAGTGTTCAATTCAGTCCTAAGAATGGCAGTTTCAGTACTCTTCAAGAGGGAATGGAGATGATGGCAGTGAGTCCTCAGCACTGACCTGCTCAGAGAGTTGGGGGGTGTCACTCCCCTCCCTGGAGTGATACCACTTTGCAATGAGTTTTCTTTCTCACCCTTGGCAAATTCTCCACATTTGAATTTATTGTATTTATCAACTAAAAGTCCCCAATGAAGTTGTTTTTTTTCCCCAGGTCTAAATACTTCTATCACCATTTTATCATGAGAATCATGAGAACTGTTTACCTGTCTGTACATCGAAGTTTTAAATTTTAGCTTGCATAATTTCTTATAGGGACTGCCTCTGACACTGATCATACGGATGACGGATCTAGTATAAAGGTTGAGCTCTCTACATTATCTCTTTCACTTTACACTTTATCACTTTTGGAAGCCCTGCCAGTACCCTGTCTGCTGGGAGCAACTCAGTTCAGAGTGTGCTGCTATTTCTTTCTTGATAATAATACACGTTTTTCTTACCTGGACATTTCTGATGCTATTGACACACATAATTATGCAGAGATGAAAACTGAGAAAGCTAACTTACTTCATCAAATCTTATAAAACTAAAACTTATTTTGTTTAAACAGTATTTTGAAAACTGATGTGGGTTACTCATTTTGTAACTACTATGTCCTTATTGTAGACAAGAGTAAGACTTTAGCAGTGTGTGTTCTAGGCCACATTAGTGTCATTCTTTCTCTTTATTAAGTGCACTTGCACTTAATCTTAGTATTAAAATCATAATCTGTACCTGGTTAGTCCAAAACCCTGGGAGAACATTTTTCTCTTCTAAAAATTAATTATAGACTTTGTTTTCTAGAATAACTATTAATGTATCAAGTTGATCCCACTCCATATCACAATGTAAATACATTTTAAATAAATCTGCTGTTTAAGAGATGAAAATAATGGGTTTAAAGAATATACTTTCTTAAAAGAAAGTTTTTTTGGTCTATACATGAAAGGATTGTAATTTGTTAACTTAAATAATTACTGCTTTGTCATTTTCTCTCTATCACCACATTTGGTCTTAGGCTGTCTTTGCTGTACATGATTCTTAAACAGTGATGTGCAGCAGAGGAATCAAGGCACTGTATTTTGTGTTTGCTAGTAGCATATCATTTCTACTTCTACAAGTGCATTGAACAAATGCTGAATGGAGCAAATGGGTAAAGGCAAACACTTCTGAAATTCTCTGAATCATTAACATAAAACAATGATCACAAGTTTAATACTTTGGGTGGTCTCAGATGTGCAAAACTGTTTCGACTTAGATAGAAGGGTGGCAGGTTTCATTCAAAAGAAGCATGTTTGCTGTCTGCAGTCTCTTTTTAAGAATTTAGTTTGGCTTGGCTTTATGGAAAGTTGGCAGAAGCTTCTTTTGTTTTGTTTTCATTTCAGCCTGTTGAATTTCCATCCTGTCTTATGACTTTACCAAAATAAACATTGTCAAAAATATAGTAGCCGTCCTATTGTTTGCAAGAGACCACCTTCTGAAAAATGTGCTATGGCTTACATCTTTTAATCAGTAAGTATCTTGTGCTCAGTTGAAAAGAATTTTCACTGGTACTGTTAGTAGAAAATCCTAGAAGTAGACTTAAAACTCAAGAGTATTACCTTGGAATGCTGTTGCACTGAGTGTAGCTCGTAACCTCCCAATGCCAGCACCGTGCTGCCAGTGGTCACCAGGCTACGAAAGTGTTCTTCTGGCAGCATGTGTTTCTGTTGGCTTTGGTGGTTCTCAGCAATTGTGATTCTTTATTCTAATTTTTACTAATTTAGTTACTTAAACTTAAAAAGCTCAATTGTCATGTATATCAGGAGCTAGAATACTCTTGTTAAGGCGTAAAAGAGGTGAGGTAGATGGAGGCCAAACAGTCAGGAACCCTCTTCAGGAACCCCCCTTCTTTCATCTCATATACTTTTGGCATCTACTGTGTAAGAAAGAGAAGAGGATGCTTTCTCACTTCTGTAAAGGACAGAGTTCTACAGAATCAAAGGAAAATGCCATTATGAAAAATAAAGGGCAAAGCCCCTTTTAAAAATGCATTTGCCCATTGTTTTTTCCTTTTTATTCTGTCGTGCTGCCTGTGTGAATACTATTACAGGTTGTACAACATATAGTAGCTGATCTTTAAACTCATTGAATAAAGACATAAAAAGCTAGAATCTCTCCGACTGTGTTTATTAAAAATCATAATTACAAGGCAGAAGAATAACTTCACAGTCTAATTTGCAGCAGACTTGTCTTCAAGGTGGGAAGTCTGTCTGTGGTTAGTGGAACTAGAAATGTAAACATACCTTGGTTAACTGGCTAGTATGTCATATATGCTAAAGGCTTCCTGGCATGTAGCAGGCTGTGTAATTTTAGACTATACAGTATATAAAAATACACTGCTGAGTGTAACAAAGTGGTTCTGGTCTATTAAAATACTGGCAAGTGGCAGAAGGGAACAGAGCGTGCATAGATAAGGAGTCAGTCTGTGGGTGATGAGATAAGGTAACCGGGGGCCAGTCCTGCTGCTTTATCTCTTGTAATGCCAGCGGGTTCAGATTGTTTGCCACGCAGGATTTTGGTCTACTTTTGAGAGAGAGCTGCCAGGACCATCCCAGTATTTGAATTAAAAGGACATAGGAGATGGCACATACGCTCCTCTAGAACATTGCTGCTTCTGAGCAGTAGTTTAAACTTATAGCTGGAATGGCATTCTGCACCTAGGAGTCATTCATTTTGGTTGATTTGCTTAGCTCTTGTGGTATAAAAACGGGGTTTTGAGCCAGGCTGTGCACATGCAGGTATCTTATGATGGTTTCTGTGAATAGTTGTTAAAAAATTAAAACAGGGGTGAGAAGCAGCAACAGGACTATTAGGGTATGACAGCTTACTTCAAAAATTATGGTGACAGTCATTAGGACACATCATTCTGCTTTTAGGAGAAGGTAGCAAGGAAACCTAGCCTGCAGCACTTTGATTTTGAGGTTGGGGGGGTGTCTTTTTTTTCTTTTTTTTTTTTCTTTTTTCCTTCGCTAAATCTTGAGGCTAGAGACAAAAATAGTGAATTCTCAGGACTTAACTGAGACTGGCATCCAGAGCCCTGGGTCCGAACCATGGGCTCCCTGGGTAGAGCCTGAGGAGAGGGAAGCACAGTGTGCTGAGTCAGCAGCTGCTGCGCCCCAGCCTAGAGGGAATGCGGAGGAAAAAGCATAGATTGTAAATCCTTCCTTTAACAGGGATTAAATGTTTTATAATGACTGTTCTGGGATATAGCAAATACTGATGTTAGGTACTCCTTCTTGCCAACCTTGCTCTTTCAGATCCTCGGTTTTGTGGAAGTTTCTGTTTTGGGTTTTTTTGTTTGTTTGGTGTTTTTTTTTAAAAAAAAACAACTTTACAGTAGTGTTTGTATTCTGATAGTGAGTTCTAGGATACCTAGCTGATGTTACTGTACCATAACTATGTTATTTAAAATCACTTTAAACCTGATGGAGGGACTTAGACTGTAATTTAAGAAGTGGTTATGCATTTTACATCGGGATGTTCTCACATAAAATGTAGTACCAGTCATCCAGACAGGAACCTGGTCTCCTTGCTCTCGGGAAGGAGACCCGGCTGCTGGGCTGCCAGTCACTTGTGCAGTTCCTAGTGCTCCTCTTGTGAAATTTGGAACAACCTTAGATCCCATGAGCAGCAGTTTGCTGGCAGGCACCAGCAGTCCAGGCAGGCTGGGGTACGGGCTGGGAGCACTCACAGGCTGCGGAGGGCACAGAAGATGGACCTTCTGTGGGCCAGACAATGCCTTCCTGCTCTCTGTGGAGTTCAGCAGTTCCTGTCCTATTTATAACAGAAGAAGAGGTCACTGCAGCACCATGTCTGAATCCCACTTGGGAAGACCATGAGAAACTGATATTTTTTACTGCAGAGGGAGTTTATTCACTAAACTGATGAACTCTGCCTGCTAATGAGGAGTTTCTGCATATGCTGAATATCAGAATTAGGAGTTTTCAAGATCCTGGTATTTAGAATGTTACGCACTTTGTGAGTTTAGAGGTCTTGGGCACTGACTCTCAGCAGCGGCTTTTGGGTTTGCAGTTTTAGATTTGGTCTCCAAATGTAAGTTTGCAACCTATTTTAGGAACCAATTACTTGTGTAGATGTGGCTCTTCCGCTTCTTCGTGCAACCCTTTCTCTCAAAAAACAATTTTTTGAAAAAAAAAAAAAAACTGGTGCGTTTTCTATTTGCTAGAGAAAGTTCTCTTCTTTGTATAAGTAGGCAAACCTAATGTTTTGGTTTTGTTTTAAATGAAGACTATAATATGGTTCCAGTGCTTTCATTATATTCCTCTAGCACCCATCTGATTTTTATTTTAAACTTTATAACCATTATACTTGACATTATTAGGCGAAATTGCTGTGTTTGATGTTTCTTTCAATCATTTTTAAGATCAAGGCTGCTGGGAACTTCCATACCTCTCCTGATCTGTTGGGCATTTGTCTTTTAAACTAAAATTTCCTTATTGCTCATGGCTTGGGGTTTGGTTTCTTTGAGGGAGTGGCAGGGAGGGAGAGAGGAACTGCATTTAAATAGTGTCTTTTAAAAGTGTTGAGGGTGCATGACTTTTAGACCAGAGAAACATGTATTACATGTTGGGCTTTCTCAACCCAGTGAAAATGGACCTACTTGGCACCACTCTGCTGTTGCAGTGAATTCCCTTAAGGTCAGCAGACCTGCTATTTATGGAAATGTGCAAGTGTTTGTCAGATGAGGGTCTTAGCTGATGTTATAGGTGGCTGAAAATGTATTTATTTTGTCTAATTTTAGTATTAAATGTAAGGCATCATCCTCCATGGTGGTGACATTACTAAGCATGGCAAAAACCGGGTAGAGCTGCTTTTCTGTTGAATCAGATATGATCTGAGTAATTGTTAACCTCAGAAGTCTTTAGAACTTCTAACTGAATTATTTGTTTTGTAGGGTGAAATGGGTGCGAAAGGACAGGATGGCGTTGCCGGGCTTCCGGGCCAAAAGGTATGTCCGTGTCTATTGATATGTAATTTGACTCCCGGGAAGTGTTCATTACGTCAGAGGCTTATCTGTAATTATGTACAGAAATGGGAGAATGGAACCCTTCTGTTAGAATGTTAGAAATGTTAGAAAATGAGCTCCTCTTCCCTGCACTGCCATGTGTTTGCAGCACACTGGAAAAGCCACTGGGCCCAATAGTATTCTCTGCAGGTGCACTTATTTGTTGGTGTGGGGTTTTTTCCTAGGAGTGAGGACTGCCATGCAGAACCCAAGGCTCATTCCACCCATTCCACTCTGCAGCTTGTGGTCTGCAAGCCTAGGCAAGAGCTCTTACCTTCTCAACAGGCCATGGGGTGGAGCTTTGAGATAAACACCACTGACCTACAAGCAAAGAGTTAGGAATAGCCGTGGCTAAGGAAGCCTGTCAGCCTATCTCTGTATTCAACAGGATAAGTTTCACTGGATTTCAGAATGTTAGTGTGTGAATTAAGGCAGTTGTACAGGTTTACTGAGCTCAGAGCTAGTTACTGGTACTAGGGAAAGTCCACCAGTATAAAATCCAACATCTTCAGTGTAGAAGTCAGTCCTCATAACATTGAGGAAACAGTGTTGCTAGAGTGGCTAATCATTTGGCCCTTTGTGATTTTTATTTTTTTTTTTTCTGTTCCATATTAACAGTTGAAAGAAATAGTGGATTTTCTGCATATACATGGAAGCTGGTTAATACATAAATAAATACAATTCTTAGATACAAGTGTTAGTGAACCTCACTGTGTTTTTATGTTTATTCTTTTTTAATTTCAGTGGTGTCTTTAGCATTGCTAAATTTAAATCCTCAGTCCTCGATTCTGTCAGTCTGGGTTCTTTTTCATCATATAGTTCAAGTTTCTGTTCTTTCAGTCCCATAAACAAGCATGCCTTTTAAAGGCAGCTGTTGCTGCGAGAGTCTTAGAATTTCAATATTGCACTTTCTTGGTTGACATTCTGCTTTCACATGTATGCAAAATTTTAGTAATGGCAGAGGGTTTCGTTTATTTTGTAATTATCGAAACTTCTGAGTACTGAAAGAAGTAGACCTTCACCTCAACCGTCAGGTTTAAAATCTGTGATTAACAGAATTATGAAACTATCTTTTAGTCTTACTGTTTCTGTCTCAAATTGTGTTATGTTAAAAATGGGAGGTAGATATATAACATTACTAAAGAGATAGGTTGAAATAACATGCTGATGCTAAGGTCTATGTGGTAGAAAAATGGAGAGCAGGCTGCAAAGATGTTCCAAGGACTTTGCAGTGTTGAGGGACTGAATTGTAAAGTGCCAAGTAAAACTCAGAGAAAGGATTGGTAAAGTGATGTAAATGAAGAAGAAAAAGCAGACATTATGTATTTCATAGACACTGACTAGGTAATTACAGAATTGGAATTACAGATCAATGAAAACACACACTCGCTGTTAAGTACTAGTCAAATAAACAAATAGAATTTTGGAATGATTAGGGAGAGCATGGGGAACAAGGCAGAAGCATCTTAATGTCACTATTATTAGTGAAACTGTATTGTGCTGCATCTTGAATGATGTCTATGGTTCTGGTTCCCATGATCTCAAGGTGGACCTAATGGTACTGGAAAAGGTTCAGAGGAAGTGTTCAAGAGTGACCAAGAGCACTGGGCATCTTTCAGTTCAGGTGTGACAATGTGGACTTCAATTTGAAAGAAAGACAACTGAGATGAAATATGCCCTATTCTGTGCTCTATATAATCATGAGTGGAACAGAAAAGGTTAATAGGGATTTATTTATTTATTTTACTCTCCTTTTCAGTGATGAACTAGAGCATCAAACCTATCTGATACCCAGTTCAAAAAGGGTAGAAAGCGCTCGTTCTACCTATTACCTGATTCAGTTTGAACGCTCTGCCACAGGATTTAAATGGGTCTGAAAATTTATTGGAAATTTGGTGGAATAAAAATCCATGGAGTGTGTCAGACAGACATTGTTGCTTGTCTGAAAGTCCTTGAGCTCTAAGATGCTAAAGTCTGGGAAACCCACTGGAGAAGTCTCTACTGTTGCCCTGTTGTTATCTTTTCTGTAGACATCTGCTGTTGCCACAGTTGTATTTATATACTTGACGAGGGAAACCTTTGATTTCATACAGCTAGACAGTTTTTGCTTTACTGTACTCCCAGATGTGAATTAATGGAAGGAGTTATTGTAAAACATTGTAGATTGAATGAGATTTATCTAGAATGAAGCTGTGTTTTCCCTTGGCTCCTTCTGCAGTTTCTTCTCTGATGTTATCTTTCTTTAAAATTGCCAGGCTACATTGCTTTTCCACTACAAGTTATTACTACAGTTTCCATGGTTAATACTGTTTGGGGTTTTTTTGCTTAGTGCCTTGCAGATCCACTGCCAGGCCAAATCCCAAAGCTCCTGTTAGTTTATGTAAGGATCAACAGTTAGATCCTATTTAATAGCAAGACACTGTACTTTTCCTGAACATTATAAGTCTTTTAATTCAGACTACATAAAAGCTATACTGTTGTTGCAAATTAAAAATTGACTACCATGGAATCTGAAACTGGCAAAACCAAAAGCTGTTTGAAAAAAAAAAAGAAAAAAAAAAAGGCAAACAAAATACTTGTACATGCATAGCTAGATAGAGAAACTGAGATCCAGCCACCCAGCTTCTGCTAGCTGGAGTTGTCATCCCTATGCAGAGTAGTACAGTGGAATTATTAGCTCCTTCCTGGAGATAGAATCACTTTATTTTCCCTGTGTTGTGAATGGTGTTAACATGTTCTGTGTCTCAGTGGATGCATCAAGAGCTATGTCAATTTGTGTGCGTCCGTTATTTTTTTGCTCCTTTTTCTGGGGTGTTCTGGATGCTAAAAATGTACATAGATTCAAAGACAACTGAATTAAGTAAAGGAGTAAAAATATTCTGAGCACTGTTATGTACAAGGATGTCTCCTACATTTCAGGAAGTGGAGGTATAGATGATGCAGTGCTGGGAGGGCGTTCTCAGGAGCTTCTCCTGCTCGTTAATCCTCCTAAACCCCTCAATACGCATTATCTTTTGTTGGAAATGTTACATTTGTTTGACTGGTATGGCTATTTTTTTTTATTTCTGCATTGAATCTTTCTAAGCTTGGTGCAGATATGCCCCCTGAATCACTAATTAGAAATAGGGAAAAAAGAGGCAATACAATTATTTTTATGCAAATGCAGTTTGAGGCTTCAGAGAGCAGAGGGGCTCTTTCTGATACACCCCAAAACTATTCACTGCAATACTGCATTGCTCATACTTTCTTCACTGGGAAAGGTTCAGAGAAAAAATACATGGCAGATCTTGCTCATGTTGCTGTGAGTAAAAAATGATATCAATTCATTTGAACCTATTTTAGAAGTTTAGCTTAGAATGAGATAAACTTGTCTATTAAAAGGCCTGTAGAATTGATTAGCTCAAACATACCTGACGTAGTAGTGAAAAACTAAAGTTAGAATAATCCTATCCAATATGCTTTGTTACTTGAGAATCTTACCAGGAGAGTCTCCCCGGAAAATGCTCTATGGTAGTATACTTAATTTTCAAGATACGTGTAAATGGTGAGAAATCTGTAAGGCTTCATGTATGGCCTTAACTTTCAGGGAACTAACATTTGAAAATAGATTATGCACCTCGCATATCTTCAGTCTGTCTTCAGATAGAAATGACCTTTGGCCATCTGTCATTTGTAAGGCATATTATAGCTGAAAACATAATTTCCCAGTCACTGAATGCTGCAGTGGTTTTGAAGAGCTGTGCTAGCGAATCGGTGCAGATCTAAGGGGTGTAGACTGCTAGGAGGCTCCTGCCATTTGAGAGTTTGGAACTGCTAATACAGAGAGCAAAGTTTAAGTCTTGATGACTCTATGGTGACATACGAATAGCCTTAACTCTCAAAAGAAAACAGATGAGTGTTCAGACCATGGTTCTGCAGTTTTGCTGATTTTTCTGCTGTGGTTCTTGTAAGCTGCCAAAGTAAAACATGAGGTTCCTACTGACTGGCAACACACTATAACGTGCCTATTGTCTCATCTACCTTCAGGGCAAAAGCAGTCAGTGTGATAGTGCTGATGACCCATGCAGAGAGTCAAGAATCAAATGCAGTTCCTGTGGAGCCCTGCCTCAGGCACCCAAAGTCACACCTCAATAGATTGGGGACACCATCACATATATAACACTCTCTTTCATATCTAACTATTTAGTTTCTTCATCTCTGTTCCCCTTTTTAGGGAACTGTCTTAAGAGATACTTTTTAAACAGTAGATCATACTTAGGGCAGCAGAGGAAATTCTTGAAAGTATCAGAGAGAGTTCTGTGGTGTTAGTTACAGTTCTAAAAAATAAGAGGGTGGTAGTCCTCTCTTGGAAGGAAACTTGCTTCATTTGTAGACTGCCAAAAGATATGGAATATATTGCCATGGTCCTCTTCCTGCAATCAGGACTGATATGTAGCTCAGCCTTCTGGGGATGCTTCTTCAAGGTATCTATCAAATCATGATACAAGAACAACTGGAATGTTGTGGTAAATCAGAATCGGTATGCATGCGAGACCTTATGCCTTGGCCTTCTGGAGGTGTTCACCGAAGTCCGTGAGGAGAGAAGAAACCCATGTTAAGGGAAGCACCGTGTTAACCTAGTTTTTAGCGGTTAGAAAGTGAAATTGTCTTTGGATACACTTCTGGAGCCATTTAGTATAATTGGATTGCAGCCAGAGTGCTGGCTGTATGGCCTGAGAAATTAAATCTGTCCCTGAAGCAGAGATTTGAGATGACTGGAATGCTCTAAGGTGTAGGATGACAGTCACCTATCGGCTGCGAATCAGGCTTCACAAGCTCTAGGCAACCCTAATCCAGCAGTTAGACTAACCTCACTATGACAACAAGAACTGATTGCTCTGCCATTAAGAATGGTCTTCATCGCACCATTGGTGCGTGCAGGGTCACACCACTGGTGTAATCTG